TCTCCAGTGGCCTACTAATGGGCTTTGGGTCTCCACTCCGCACTCCCCCCCCATTCACTATGGAAAGATTTTTTGTTCTCATGATGCCTGATGCCTGATCCCTTCAACACCTCGTGATCACACAGGCTGGTGTGCTTCTTCCATGTGGGCTTTGTTGCTTCTGAGCTCGATGGCCGCTTGTTTGCTTAATAAAGAAGTTTCAGAACATCATCTTTCTCTCATTTGCTTCTGAAGTTCAACTCGTGCAGACAGTTTTGTTTCTGAGAGGTTTAGCCTCGTTTCTGGAGTTACTGTGTTGGCTTGGACTCCGCTTTGCTCGGAGACTCCTTGGGGCCTAGATAGAAAAGGCTTCCTTAACTCATGGAAGCTTATGTTTTCAAGGCCAGACTCACTCAATCACTGCCATTGAGTCGGTTCCGATTCATAGTGACACTATAGGACAGGGTGGATCTGCTCTTTTGGCTTTCTGGGATTGTAACCTCACCAGAGTGGAAAGCCTTATCTTTCTCCCACACAGCAGCTGGTGGCTTTGAACTTCCAATCTTGTGGTTAGCAGTTCAACAACCCACAACCCATAGTGCCACCAGGGCTCCTAATTTTGAGACCATCATTTGTCTGGGCCCACATGTGTCATAGTAGAATTGGGCTTTCAGTGGCCGGTTTTTCAGATATAGATCCTCAGAGCCTTCTGAGATACCTTTGGGTGGGCCCGAACGTCCAACGCTGTAAGGTAACAGCATGTACTTCGAGTCAACCTGCCAGTTAACTGCTCCCTGAAGGGCTGCCATGAGTTGGAATAGACTCAGCGACAATGGGAAGTTGTGGTTGTTTGTTTTGTATCTGAGCTTTGATAGAGATCTAGTTGATAGTGCTAAAGTACCTTTACAACTGTTACTTTGGAAATAGTATTTTAGGGGCAAAGTGTTTTCATCCAGAGGGAGAACCTGAAAGAGCAGGCATCTGTGTCTCCCATTCTGGCTGAGTTTGAACAACAAGCTAGACTGGGAACATAAGAAGAATGCCCAGGGGAGCCAACTTTCAAGGCAGGTTACAATTTTGCTAGATATAGTTTGGGAGTGGAAAATGGTTGCTAAGGAAGGGCTGTATTTCTGTGTTGTCATGTTACTGCGGCCATAGCCAGATTTGACAGCCCAAGAAGCTGATGGAGCTGCAGAAGTGTTGGTATTAATGTAATGTAACATGATGAAATAATCTTGTCTCAACATTACGGGACCCATTTTCTTCAATGTTTTCCTTAACAGCTGTCTTTTCTTTAAGTGATTGTCTGTGCTTCCCTCATTTCTATCACCAAACTGGAGTGGAATCCCGAAGAAAAGGTAAAATTTCAGTCAGCTTTCAGTATGATTATTGAACCTGATTGGTTTTTTTTGTGTTGTTTTTGTTTTTTGAGATGATGGCTGGGGGATGCCTGGAATGCACTGCCATTTCTCAGAGCAAACGGGAAACTGTGGCACGTGCACATGTTATTTACTCAACTTCTTGCTGTCTGCTGCTGTCATGTTGGCCGCTGACTCATGACAAGCCCACAGAAGGTGGGAAGGGATGCTGCACAGTCCTGCACTACCCCCGCCATCGATTGCAGGCAGGACCATGGTGATCCATCTGACTTCCATTGGCTGATTGACGCACCTTCCTAGCTAGTCCTCCTTCCTTTAAAAGCTCTTCAGAAACCGATGGAGCAGTTTTGCGCCCTCACAGGGTTGGCATAAATGGAATGGACTTCATTCAGCATCGCAACAACCCACAATTTACCATGGGCTAGTTGGCGGGTACATGAGGTGTATTGGCCAGAATCAAATCCAGGTCTACCACTGAACTATTTGTATGTACCGAAAGCAGCTAATGCGCTTGGTTGCTAATAGAACAGGTCAGGAGGTTCAGGTCAACCCAGAGGTGCCTCGGAAGAAAGGCCTGGTGATCCATTTCCCCCCCAAATCCTACCACTGAAGACCCTATGGAGTATAGATCTATTCAGATCAGACACACATGGACTCACTGTGAGGTGGAGTTGATTTGACAGCCAACTGGCTACAGTCAACGTCCTGTCGAATGACTTGGTAGTATGTGCATGTGGTAAACGGTCCCTAGCTGGTGTAAATGGTTAAGCCAGTGGTTCTCAACCTTCCTAATGCTGCGACCCTTTCATACAGTTCCTCATGTTGTGATGACTCCCCAACCATAAAATTATTTTTGTTGCTACTTCATAACTGTAATTTTGCTACTCTTATGAATTGGGGAACCCCTGTGAAAGGGTTGTTTGACCCCCACAGAGGTGGCGACCCATAGGTTGAGAAGCACTGGGTTAAACACTTGGCTATCTGTGGTTTGAACCGGCCCAGAGGAACAGCGGAAGAAAAGGCCTGCCGGTCTGTTCTGTAAGACCGCAGCCTTGAAAACCTTAGAGGGCTTTGCACACGTGGGGTTGCCGTAAATTGGATTTGACTGAATCCAATTTACAACTAACAACAACGCCAACATTAGCTATCGGTAATTATAGTTCTGGAGACTATTTTTCCTAATTTCAAATAGCTGGTTCTCTGACACAGGAACCATGCGTGCTCCGTAAAAAGGCTGGGCACTTAAAGGTAAGGGGAATAATGCGTACGGAGGTCAGCGGAAGCATGGGATGTTAAGAGGGTGAGAGGACCTGCTCAAGTTGTTCAGTTCAGGAGAGAGCGAGAAGTCACGGTGGCTTCTGGTGAAGGGATGCTCTGGTGAAGGAGGGGCTGTCAGGCAGGCAGGGAGGCCTCCTGCTGGAATTGGGAGACAAGAGGGAGCTTTGACTGAAGGTGGACTGAAGAGGAGCGGGCCAGGAGTTCAGAGGGCAAGAAAGCCATTTTCCAAATGCAGAGTTCACTTGGAAGTAATGGGACATTTTTTTAAATTAAAAGATCATTTTATTGGGGGCTCTTACAACTCTTATTACACTCCATACATCAGTTGTATCAGGTATACTTGTACACCATGGGTGTTGGTGAGTAACTTGAGAATGAAAGGGTATCACGAATTGAAGAGGACGTCCACGTTTTTGTTAGGGGAGAGCCAAAAAGTTAAGTTGTTATAAACAGAGAGCTAAAGCCCTACCAGCCGTAGTTGGTATCATAGGGGGAGTGGATGGGTTCAGTGTTAAAAGCTTTGGTTCAGAGCCTCCAGTGTGGTATGCCTGGAAGACCTATCTGGGGACATGGAACTAGAAGTCTCGTGAGACTGGGGGCTATCTGAACAACGGCCAAAGTGGCTGGAGTTTTCCAGAGCTCCCATCAGAACACAAGAGACCAGATATTTGGCACTGAGATCGACTCACACCCTTAGATACCCATACAGCAGCAGTTCTTTGACTGCCATGCGAGGATGTGGGTGATGCCTTGGGAGAAACAGTGAGAGAGCAGAGGGTCTGTTTTCAGGGTGGTAGAGGTATGCCTCTTGCAAAGTAGAAATAAAAGGGAGAAGAACCAGCAGTGGATGATACAGCTTGCTCACTGGCTGAGCCCTTGAGCAAGATTCTGCTGGGTGCTCATGGGTAGAAGGGCAACCATGCTCAGTGAGGCAGGTAGCTAGTTGTGGACTGCTAGCTCTGATACGCAAACTCACTCGCTGACTCAGAGAGACCTATAGGGCAGGGAAGAACTGCTCCTGTGAGCCTCCGAGATGGCAAATCTTCCTTCTTTCATCCATCTATCTCCATTTATGTACCTTATCTTATCAATCAATCTATCTAATCATCTTCCCGAGATGGTAAATCTTTATGAGAGTAGCAAAACGTTTCTTCTGTGGAGCAGCTGGGGGTGTCAATCTGCTCACCTCGTGGAGAACCACCATGCCACCAGGGTCCCCAGCGGTGACATTGGCAAGCATAAAACAAGTCGGATACGGAAGTACGAACAGCATGCTCTGGAAATGACAAGCAACAGCAATTCGTTCTTATCACAGGATGAGAGAAGACACTAATTTTCCCAGAGGCCGAGGGAGGGGCATGTTTCAAGGGAGAAGGAAACAACCCACCCAGGTGCATGGTCTGTGGAATCAGCGATAAGGGAGTCAGTCCCTGATGTTTCCCAAAACGCGGCGTTTCAGTAGAACGGAGGGCTTAGGAACCAGTTGCAAGAGGTTAAAGAAAATGGTGCCAGGTAATCAAATTCTGGGTTGGTGGGGAGACGAAGTAAGATGGTGGCTAGAGGGGACCGTGGGGTCAGAGGAAGGCCACCAGCTGGGAACAAAGGAGAGACCAGGAAGATGGTGGTGAGAATGATGCAGACAGGAGTTCAGCCTCTTTAAAATGGTCCCAGCATCCCGTAGACGAGAGCGAGACCGGAAACAGTTCTCCGCGGGGACCGGAAGGCGGCCCACACCTTGAGAGGCGTTGACGTCCCCTCGCTGCAGTGACGCCTCCTGCGAGCGTCCCCACGCGCAGGGCGCGGCGTGGCCACTGGGGGGCAGCCTGCCGCCGTAAATGACGCGCACGGCCGAGCCCGGCGCTCCCAAAGCCTCTGCGCTCCGTTTCCGGTCTTCTACAAAAGTGTGAAAAGCACCGGTTTTCTATTCATTCCATCGAGTGCCCCTGCCACGCTTGTCTTGTCTTCCAAATATCCGTGAGTGACAGTCATTGATGGATTGAAAACGTGATGGAGCCCTTCGGGAGGTGGGCTGTTCAAATCCACCCCGAGCCTCCGCGGGGACGGGCCTGGTGATGCGCTTGTGAAAGAGCGCCCCCCGGCTGGAAGGAGCCGAGCTGCACCCACCCCAACCCCGACCCCACCCCCGCCCCCGCAACAAACTAACAAATCCAGCAAGTGCCCAGCACATCGCTCGCTCGCTGTGGCTTGTCTGGCAGGGAGAAGGCGACGTTGCCAGCATCTTTCAGAACGAGAGGAGAGTGATTGCTCCCCGTCGTGTGCATGCAGGCCGCGGAGGGCTTCGGAACAAACACGCGAGCTAAAGAGATACCCCGCTTTCTCCGTGTCGATTTGATCAGCCCTCGTCACTGCCCACTGGGGGTGAGGGGCCGCAGGAGCTCCTGATGCTTGCTGTCACCCCTGCTCAGCCCTCCCGTCCGCTGGGTGACTCTGCATGAGGACCAGTGACGTCTGTGGGAGCTGTCGGGCGGCTCCCCCAAGTCTTGGAATGAACCTGGATCCCAGCAAAGAGCCGGCCCCTCGGAGCTGACCTGCAGTCCCGCACCTGTTCCGTCCGCCCCAGTCACCCACCTCCGAACCAAGTGCCGCCGGGAAAAGCAGTGAAGTCTTTCTGTGAAATCACAGAAAGGCGTGTGGGCTAACGTCACATCGCAGAGGAGCATTTACAGACGTTTCCAGAGTGTTTAAAAATATGTTCAAATATATTTCTGCGTTTGTGCAAAAAGGATCTCTCTCTCACACACACGGGCATGCAGGTTTTTAAAATAAGGTTGAAGCCAGACAGCCCCAGTTTTTGGCTGGGTAAAAATAGGGGTGAGCTGGGGAGGCCATGTTTCCCCCCTTTCTTCAAAATCATCAGCTTTTACAGGTGTTCATCCCAAGCCTGCCCTCGAGGAACCCCCGTAGTGTAGTGGGTTCAAACCCACCAGCCGCACCGCAGGAGGAAGACAGCCTGCCTCCTCCCTAAAGAGTTATCTTCTCAGAAGCCCAGGGAGTGCTTCACTTCGGACGAGTGCTTCACTTCTGTCCGAGAGGGCCGCCAGAAGTTGGGATGGCTCGGTGGTAGTGAGTTTGTGGCTTTTGAGAGTCTGCCCTCAACCCAAAGCCGAGTTTTACGACCTCAGTTTAGAACCATTCTCATTTTGCTTCCTATCCACTCCTTCCCAGCCGCAAGAAAAAACTCAGTGAACAGGCACACATCTCATCCTTAATGTTAAGCAGCAGTATTTTCTAAGCAGGCATTTTCTCTAGCAACAGGGAACCCCCAGCAAGTCCTGACAGTCTGCCAGCTTCTTCTAGACGGGGTTCTCAGCCTTCCTAGTGCTGCGACCCTTTAATGTAGTTCCTCATGTTGTGGTGACCCCAACCATAAAATTGTTTTCGTTGCTACTTCATCACTGTCATTTTGCTACTGTGATGAACTGGGCGACCCCTGTGAAAGGGTCGCTCGACCCGCAGGTTGAGAACCGCTGTTCTAGACACTTTCACTGGTTCTAGACACTTTCACTGGTTCTTTGGAAGAACAGCTCAGGTGCTCACTCAGGTGTTAATCATTTCCTTCCTTGGTGAGAGTCCATTTCCCTTTTCCGCAGAGCCCACTTCCACTGCCCTGTCTCTCAGTTATTTTGTGGCCCCCATTCTGCCCTTTGTTCCTCGCCCATCTTCAAACCACAGTGGGTCAGAATCAGAAAGAACCTTCTAAGAGATTGCATTCAGCAGCTGAGTAGTGCAGGGGACTCTGGAGAATTTGCCTACTGTCTTAGGTTGGGTTGAAACAGACACACTCATCTATGTCAAGAAAGAGGTTTTATCTCAAGAAGTGATTTCATATCAAGAAGGCACCCCAGCCCAGTCCAACTCAAGTCCCTAAGTCTGAAACTAGCCTGGTCCCTCTTCAGACTCACATAGCCAGAGGCCGGTGATCAAGAAAAATGAAGTGGGAGTCAGAGAGATCACAGGCCAGGAAGCACAGAGCCCAAGGGTCCAAGGTCGGTGAAAACACAGCAGGGCACCAACAGCTCTCAGGGCCGGGCAGCCCACATGGGGCCACCCCTTGGAGCAACACAGAGTCTTAGCAGGGATGAGGGCCAAGGGCAAGAGAGAGCAATTCCCAGTGTCTTTCACTCTTACACAAAAGGCCTCCTCACCCGCCACCCCAAGGAGGTGGTAATCAGGATACCACTTGATTGGCAGGTTGGACTCCACCCCGACACGTTCACACAAGTTCAAGTCATGAAATCTAGCTGCTATACTACATTGCCGTTAAGTGCCTTTCTCCAGGTGTCTGTTTATGCTCAGGGGACACGGTCTCCCCAGATTGGACTTTCTCGTCTTTGGTTTATTGACCCTTTGCGTCTTCATTATTCCTGCCAGGATTACGTGTACCACTTGGTGAGTGCCATCTGTGAATGGATAGTGGCCTTCGGTTTCGTTTTCTACTTCCTAACCTTCATCCAAGACTTCCAGGTAGGTATTTATCTATTCGAGCGTCAGGATCACAACAATTTTTTATTCTTTTGTTTAAATACCCCCCTCTTTTTTTAAAGATCATTTTATTGGGGCTTTTACAGCTCTTATAACATTCCATACATCAACTGTACTGAGCATATTTGTACATATGTCCCCATCATCATGTTCTGAACATTGACTTTCTACTTGAGCCCTTGGTATCAGCTCCTCTTTTTCCCTTCCCCCTACCCACCCTCGTGATCCTGTGATAAATGACAAATTATTATTTTCATAACTTACATCGACCACTGTCTCCCTTCACCCACATTTCTGCGGTTTGTCCCCCTTAAAGGGTTGTGGTGGCAGTGGCTATGTGTCAACCATTCATATTGGTTCCCTCTTCCTCCCTCCTGAGCTGATTCCACGTGGCGTGAGCTCTTGTCCGTACCAGTGTACCTGCTCCAGTCTAGCCAGAACTGAAAGGCAGGACTGATGATAGTTGAGGAGTGGGGACTGAGGAAATAGCCTTTTTTTAAAAAAATAATTTTATTGGGGCTCATACAACTCTTATCACAATCCACACATACATCAATTGTGTAAAGCACACTTATACATTCATTGCCCACATCATTCTCAAAACTCGCTTTCCGCTTGGGTTCCTGGAATCAGCTCATTTTCCTTTTCCTCCTCCCACTCCCTCCCCACACCCCCTTCCCTCATGAACCCTTGATAATTTATAAATTATTATTTTATCTTACACTGCCCGGCATCTCCCTTCGA